ATATCAAAGTTGGGAACACTCCTAATCGAGCGTTAGCCTGTAATGTGCACCATAGTGGCTGTTATGGTTTACACTCGATGTTGTAAAGATGTAGAGATATAGCTGTAGAGTGCAACATTGTGGCTTTAAACGTTTTACTGGTTTACACTCTATGACTGAATTGATAACAGTTAATTAATAAAAACGTTATTTAAAATGTTAAAGTGACACGACGAATCATGAGGCAATGAATATGATAAATTTATGCAAAGGAGTATCGTCGATGTAGATTCATGATGTACAATATACGTATTTATCTACTGTACATATACATACACTATACTTACACAAGCGTACCCAAGCAAACAAACCTTAGACGTAATTTAGTTTAGACTACGAAATGTCATGCGTAACATGTACAAATTTGCCATCAAGTCGAACGACTAGATTTTGTATTTATTTTTCTATAAATGGTAGTTATCTAATCTATCTATATAGTTTCGAATCGACAGAGAGATTAAGAGTTCGTACCCGTGCGTGCATGCCGCTCAGGAAGAAAAACTTCCCCGCTTCGTAGTATTTCTTCTCATTCTCAAAGTAGAGAGCGATGCTGTGGTAGTCTTCTTTCGTAGCATCCACCCCTACAGCCAACACACACAACACATATCACTACACACCAAGTTCATGTCTACAACCAGCACACACAACACATATCACTACACACCAAGTTCATGTCTACAACCATCACACACAACACATATCACTACACACCAAGTTCCTGTCTACAACCAGCTCACACAACACATATCACTACACACCAAGTTCCTGCATGTCTACAACCAACACACACAACACATATCACTACACACCAAGTTCCTGTAATGTCTACAGCAGCACCACACAACAATTATCACAACACACCAAGTTATGTCTACAACCAGCACACACAACACATATCACTACACACCAAGTTCATGTCTACAACCAACACACACATCGCATATCACTAAGTTTACGTATCAATGCCAAGTTTACGTATAGCGCGGGTCGACGCCCAAGCTTTCAACACTTGCCTCGCATGCTCATCAGTACCAACAACACCACCTATACTATTAACGCTCGTAGGCTCTATGTCCACCTGACCTCTGTTTGACCTGGCTCGTTTAACTATTTCTGACTAACCCTAACCTACCCTATATATATTATATATTATATATATATATATAATATATATATTAGTCAGAAATGGCTAAACGAGCCAGGTCAAACAGAGGTCAGGGGGACATAGACCTTATCTGCACTATTATCCTTGAACAGAACTCTGAGAAATATGATAAAAACATTTCTGCATGTGACTAGGGCAGAGGGGGACTACTGATGACAATGTGCAAGTTTTCAACACTTGCATCGTATACCCACCAGTTAAAACAACACCACCAACACAGAAACCATCTAACCTCATCTAACCACAACCTTGGACAGAACTCTGGCGACAACATTTCTGCATTGATACTTTGTCAGAGTACCAACAACACTATCTCTCTACTATTAACCCTAAACAGTATCTGGTGCTACAGATCCTTACTGAGAAATATGACTAAAACGTTTCTGCATGTAACTAGGGCAGAGGCTACCTATGATGTCTGCGTATATGGCCATCTGGCCGTGAGTCTGTGCAAGCTGAAACGCCTCATCGTTGCACTTGGACAGCACGAGGAACTGGATGGCCGACGAGTAGTCGTTAAGCTTCAGGAAGAACCTGTGGAGAGAATGCAGCATGCTCACGGTAAGAGGGTCTATGTCCCCCGGGTACTGCCGGAACGTACCCTGGGTACGGTCCGGTATACCGGAATGTACCCTGGTAACTATCTAAAATGCCGGACCGTACCTCGCCTACTCCACTAAACGCAGTCTAGGGAGTCGCCTACGCCTAACTCTAACCTAACCCTAACCATATCAGATAGTACCAGGGTACGTTCGGTATACCAGACCGTACCCAGGGTAACGTTCCGGCAGTACCTGTAGGACATAGACCCTATGAACTACAGTATCAGCATTGTGTCACTCTGATTAATGTCAATTACTGGATTAAAGATATAGTGTAGAAAATATATATTGTAATCTGCATAACATGGGAAACTGCACAAATTTGGTCTACTTAAAACATACAAACCGAACAATGCTATAATCGCTGTTTTGTACATGTATACAGTAGTTCGTGTGAAACCATTACACATTAGGTTAGGAATGCAGGGACGTTTTAGCTCCCTGTCT